CCCGGTCCGCGGACCGGCGGTTGGGGACCCCTGATCTAGACGATACCTGAATGTATTCGTTGTTTGTCATGTAGCGCCCTCGGGTGGTCAAAACGAGAAACATTTCAGTTTTGTTTTTTAGTGGATTCAAAATCCTCACACTTACAAAAATAAAACGCTATCACTTTGAGGCCAGCAAAAGTATATTAAAACAAATATTTAAAAATAAATCTAAATGCATACAACTAATTATGTTTATTGTGTACATCGTAGAAAGCGGCTCGAGAATGGGAACGTTTGTGCGACACATTAGACTGTCGGACAGGTTAATAGTAGCGGACTTACTTTTGACACGAAAATACAAGAAGATGTTGTTTACTATTTTTCATGTTTTTCTATTTTATAACTTATGGTTATTTCCATTTTACCTTAGATACCTAAAAACATGTAAATTAAAATTGAAAGTAAAAAAAATGCGAAAAGACAAGTGAATCTTCTACCCGGAAGTCGAATCATCTATCCAATCAATGCTCAGCACCAAACGGAACACGGAAGTGTCGCTCGTGCAGTGAAGGTTAGACGCTAACGAAAGAATTTTTGGGCTGCCTACTGTATAAAATGAAAAATATAGCTTTTTTTGTGATGCGTTGTTTGCCGATACAAGTCTAACTAGCTGGATTTTTTTTGTCTTTACACGGCCTTGTAATTAAGGTAATAATGACGATGTGACTTGCACTTATTGAATGTAGATGCCCATTTTGTCATGTTTTCATCCAGCACGTATCAGCGTGGCCCTGAATCACACCATAATGCTAGTATTTTCGCCAGATGTATTGTGTTGTACTTAAATGAACTGATTTAAAAGGGTAGTATTGGTTGCATGTTTCCGTGGCAATTGCAAGAAGAAAGTGTCCCTTATGGATCTCTCCTAAATATATTATTTTTCACAATTCATCTTTCCTTCTCCTTATTCAGCAATTATGGCCAGCATGTCGAACTATGCACTGCGCATGGCCAGACTGAGTGCTCAAATTTTCGGGGATGTCGTCCGCAAGACGGACCCCAAGTCCATGAAGGTGGTCCGCCTTTTCCAGGAGCCTCCCATGGCCAAGAGGAAAGAGGTGTACGACTGGTACCCGCAGCACAGGATCTACTACGCCATGACGCAGAAGCTCAGGTTCATGGGACTGTTCAGGTAATTTTGATAGGTAACAGTAACCTCCTGCTTATCTGAGTTTGCATGTCCCAGACACGTCATAAAAAAAAAAAAAATCTGTGAATTCGTCTGAATGTGTTTCGACATTTGCTCGCAGGGACGAGCATGAAGATTTTAAGGATGAGATGCGTCGCCTGAGGAAGCTGAGAGGAAAAGGCCCACCAAAGAAAGGAGAAGGGAAGAGAGCAAGCAAGAAGAAGTGAGCCACGACGTTGCCGCTGCATCACTTTGGAACTGGAACTGTAAAGAGCCTTTCGTGATCGACCTTCCAGTACGTTCTTCGGAGCATTCACAACATCAGTGGGCTTAGTACCCAGCCACTGTGGATGATGGTCAAATGAGACGTCCAAAAAAAAAAAAAAATCATGATTGTATTTGTAGTCTGTGTCTTATTCTCATTGTGTTGCATTTAAGTTTCACAAGTGGAAACGTTTTTGTTGACTCCAGATGGATTGTCACTGAGTGTTGAAAGTATTCAAGGAAAAAAATAAAAGTACAACTACATTCAATTGTTTGCTTTGGTACTTGAATGCTCATATTCATTCATGATGTTGTGTGTTCGTATAAGTTACTCATGCTTTGAATGTGTTCCGCGAATGTTTGCATTGATGGGTGTGTGCTTTGTGTATATATGCTGTATTGTGTGGACTGTGTTTTATGAATATGTTAGCTGTGTTGTATTTGCCTTTTTTGCATGTGTGGCTGGCTGTGTGTCACGTCTGTTGTGTATGCATGTGGGTTGTCTTTGCGTGCGTGGCGTTTGTGTGTTGGATTAGTCTTCTGTGCATGTATTAGAATCACAATAGCTTTATAGTCATTGTAGCACAGGTTGCAACAAAATGGAACAAACACAACCCCAAAGTGAGCTCCTTTAAGGGGAGCACCGTATGTATTTGAAAAAGAAGCAGCACGACAGTAATACTCCACACACAGACATTTGAAGGTGGGGTGCGGGATCATGACAGCAAAGGGCAGGTTTTGCAAGCGATCAGGGGCCACCACATCCCATCTGCAGGTGCGTCATAATAGAGGAAGTGAGAGGGGTTTGGGCAACGGGCTGTGAATTGCATTTGTTTGTGTTTGTGCGCTTGTAGGTTGTGTGTATTTCTTTCGTGTCTCTGTCGAGTGTATATTATGTTTTGTGTGTCTTTTGTACGTGTTTTGTGTGGTGTGATGGTTTGCAAGACAGCTCAAGTCTGTCCTTTGTCGCCCCCTTGCGGCCGCAGCGCCGCCACTGCGCTTGTCTCTCTTATTTTCCACTCACTTTCTCACACTTTAAAATGGCGGCGTTGAGCAGCGCCGAGTCCCCACCGCCCGTCTTTAACGGAGACACCTCAGAGCGGCAACCGGGCGGGGAGCGGGGCCTCGAGGAGCTCGGCGCAGCGCTGGAGCCCTCCTGCTCGCCGGGGATCCCCGGAGGTCCGCAAGACGAGGAGGTAGGCGCTTCGCGGCGGCGGTGCGATGGTAGCGGCGGAGAAGTGGGAGGGAGGCAAGTGGGCACGGCGAACGGGGCTGCGAGCGAGGCTAATTGGATGGAAATGTTCAGGAAACACCGGCTGCTCCGCGGATGGCGGGGGATGCGGCACAAGCGGGGGAAGAGGGAGGGTGACGACCAGAACCGACGCGGAGGGGCTCCCGGGACCCTCTGCTCGCGTTAGGCTGGAGCATGCGGCAGTTGGACGGGGAGGTTTTATTCGTAGGGGTCGATGTTTACTCGGGGCCTTGCTCGCCTTCCAGTCGGCTCTCACTGCGGCGCCGCCACGGCACACAACGCACGCCGCTGTTGACACAACAAAGACGGGGCAATTAATGGCGCTTTTGCCGTGGAAGTGGGGTGGTGGTGCACCGTGCCGGAGAGACCCACTCGGGGCTGATGGTGGACGTGCGGGGAGCGGATGCTCGCGTTGAAGTATAATGCAGCTGCACAGGTTACTTTGGTACATTTAACGGCCAACAAAAAAAAAAAATAAAACGCAATATACACTTGCCCATGCAGGTCTCTGCGTATAAATCAACACTAATTTTGATTAATTCCCAGTCAAATCGATTTTGTTTCCATTTTTCAGGGTAGCATTGTATCTTGACAGTTTTGAAATTCGCTGGTTCAAATTTCCAACCCATATTCTAAAAAAAAAAAAAAAACCCTCAATATTAGGTGAAGTGGAGCCTCTTCATAGATGTGAATGTGAGTGGTGGTCGAGAGCTGGAACTCATTTTTTTTGGAATCCCCTTGTGTTTTGCTTACCAGTCACTAATGCTACTCGGGACGTCTAGCCAAGCTCAGTGCAGCTCTGCTTACCCTTTTATTTTATTTTTAGGAGTTCTTCATTTCATCCCGCCTCTAATAATGGTCACGTGGGTGGATTTATTGTCAAGAATTAGTTAATAGTGTGCGATTGATTGTTGATTTGAGCTTGTTCATTGTCATTCACACTTTGAGGTTCCCCTGAAATGGGCCTCGCGCTGGAAACAGCCAGCGTCTGATACAGTTCCTGAAAGTAGAGAGGATAAGAGCAATATCAGGAAATAGCCGACTTTTCGACATCCCATTGAGTCATAGTTCACCCCTCAGCCCGTTTTAAGCGTGAAGCATTATCATGTGCTAGCGCTGCGAGTGATACAGTTGGTGCCGCTATCTTTGCTGGACAGTATATTGAATTGTTGATCGTATTTAATGAAGGCAGAATAGAATGGAAAGATTTCTTTGTTATGCCTAGGGATGCTTTTTGTGCGCTAAATGCCATTTATTTTCCCAAGTTACTATATTTTAAACAAGCTGTTGAGGTATTTGAACACAAATAAGCACTGTCGTGCTCAATGCAGCTGTTGTTGTGCCCATTGTTTTTTTTTTATAATTGTTATTATGATTTGCTGTTTTTGTGCACAGACCAAAGCCATCGAAAGTAAAAATATTGCTTTGGCGACATCAGGTGGCACCACGGTGCCAAGCAACTATGTTGAAGTCATGGGAGGAGCTTCATTTAGTTTGGCCATCACGTTGTCTCATAGAAAAATTGCTTTGTCGACATGCTGTGATATCTGTACGTAATCGCAAACTTTTTTGGGGGGTACTAGTCAATTACTTGCTGTGTTTTTTTTTTTTTGCGATTTGCGTCAGTGTTGGTCCTTATTGACTGTACAATCCCGACTTGTTGAAGGGGGGAATGGAGTGATGTTGCCGAAGCTTGAAAACTGCGCGCTGCTGCTTCGGTTTTATGAATAGGTCTAATTCATTCAGGCAAAAAGGGAAGCCTGAAAACTGATGAGCTTGCATGATGTCATATCATTCTCTCGGCTGTCGATCGGTTTTGGGTGATGTCATTCTCATGAATGGATACCGCCTTTTCTATCCAATTACCGTATCGTTCGTCAATGAGAAGATCTGTATTCACAAAAGCGAGGGCCTAATTTCCAAGTCGGCAAAAAAATGAATCGAATGTGTCCCCCCCCCCCCACCCCCAACAGATCTGGAACATCAAACAGATGATCAAGTTGACGCAAGAACACTTAGAGGCTCTCCTGGACAAGTTTGGAGGAGAACACAATCCTCCCTCCATATATCTTGAGGTGAGAGTCATTTGCTCTCACTCCACGGAGAACCTCAAGAATGTCACTTAAGCCCACTGTCCGTTCTTCGTCTCCCCCCCAGGCCTATGAGGAGTACACCAGTAAGCTGGACGCCTTGCAGCAGAGGGAGCAGCAGCTGCTAGAGGCCACGGGCAACGGCACGGACTTCCCCTCCTCCTCGCCGACTCCCGTGCCGACCCTCCTGGAGGTCAAGATGGGAGGCTGCGTGGCCGGCGGCGGCGGGGTCGGCGCTCAGGTTTTCCCCTCGGCACCCAACACCTTGGCCGTCCTCCAGAAACCGGCGGACGCCAGCCGGAGCAACCCGCGCTCTCCGCAGAAGCCCATCGTCCGGGTCTTCCTGCCCAATAAACAGAGAACGGTGGTACGTGATAACTCGTCATTTAGACCACGCCCCCCTGAGTGTGAGCGGGGCCATTGCGTTCTGTGGTAGTCCACACGTTTTCATTAAAGACCGGAAACTAAAGCCGGGGGGTGTTTCCCGGCTGCGTTCAGGTCCCCGCCCGGTGTGGGATGACCGTGCGAGACTCGCTCAAGAAGGCTCTCATGATGCGAGGACTCATCCCGGAGTGCTGCGGCGTCTACAGGATACAGGACGGGTGAGTGTGCTGCAAACGCACTGAAATGAGAATCCGGGAGAGAATACCACTGCACTGTTAAAATCTATCGATCTACAGAGAGAAGAAGCCGATTGGTTGGGACACGGATATCTCCTGGCTGACCGGGGAAGAGTTGCACGTGGAAGTCTTGGAGAATGTGCCGCTCACCACGCACAATTTTGTGAGTACCGCTCATCCAGTCCGAGTAATATCAACAGCATTCATAATATTTATTAGGGATGAGCAAGTACCGATACCAGATATCGATATTGGGTCGACGCAGGCTTTATTTTAATGTATCGGGTATCAATGGAGGGTGCGGATACCAGCCACCGATACTTCCACAAAAAAAAAAAACTTTGTTCACATTTTTTCCATCCTTGGGTTGAATTAAAATTGTAAAATATCAAAAGTAACTCAAGGTATCGGTCCTTGGTATGTATCGGGTTGCGATGGAGGGGGTGGATACCAGCCACCGATACTTCCACAAAAAAAAAAAAAAACTTTGTTCACATTTTTTCCATCCTTGTGTTGAATTAAAATTGTAAAATATCAAAAGTAACTCAAGGTATCGGTCCTTGGTATGTATCGGGTTGCGATGGAGGGTGTGGATACCAGCCACCGATACTTAAAAAAAATAAAACAAAAATGTGTGTTGAATTAAAATGAGAAAATATCAAATGTAACTCGAGGTATCGGTACTTGGTATCGGTGAGTTTGCAACGAGTGAGTCCTCGTCATGGCAGTCGTATCGACCCTCCCTAATATTTCTCGTTTAAAATATGGCGCAAAGCGTGGCTGACGGAACCCCGCTTCTGGTCTCCAGGTGAGGAAGACCTTCTTCACGCTGGCCTTCTGCGACTTCTGCAGGAAGCTGCTTTTCCAGGGCTTCCGCTGTCAGACGTGCGGCTACAAGTTCCACCAGCGCTGCAGCACCGAGGTCCCCCTCATGTGCGTCAACTACGACCAGCTGGAGTAAGTCGCTCGCAAAATAAATAAATAAATAAATAAAAATCTATTTAAAAAAAAGCCGTTGCTGATGTAAAAGCGGTCGCGAATGAATGAGGATGCGACTCAGAATCCCGTTTTCCATTTTTACGCCGCGCAGCTTGTTGCTCGTGTCCAAGTTCTTCGAGCATCACCCTTTCACCCAAGAGGAGGTCTCCTCCGAGGGGACCACCCCCGTGTCCGAAGCCTGTCCGTCGCTCCCTCCGTCCGACTCCACCGGGTGAGCCCCGCCCCCTTTTTTTTTTTTTTTTTTGCCTACTCAAGGCCGTTTCCCCCAACGAGGCGCCGCCGCGCTAACGAACGCACGTGGTCTCTCCAGGTCTATATGTCACGCCACGTTGTCCCCATCCAAGTCCATCCCCATCCCGCCTAGTTTCCGGCCCGCCGAGGAGGATCACCGCAACCAGTTTGGCCAGCGGGACCGTTCGTCCTCTGCCCCCAACGTCCATATCAACACCATCGAGCCTGTCAACATCGACGTGAGTGTTGGAACCACGTGTTGGCATTCGGCTTTTAATTTGGCCCTCACCGTTGCGTAACAATCCGGCAAAATGACGAAGGGGCTCACTCGTCGCCACCTTTTTCTTTCAGGACCTGATCCGAGATCAGGGACTAGTGAGGTCGGATGGAGGTAAGGAACTTCGCTCCATTCTGTGTCCCCCCCTCCCTCCCCCCCACCATCCCGCGTGTCTGCGTGCACTGTTCTTTTTGTGTATATGTGTGTGTGTGTGTGTGTGTGTGTGTGTGTGTGTGTGTGTGTGCGCGTAAAGACCCTAGAAGCTTTCAAGTCGGCGCTTGTAGCTCGCTTGCGGACGTCATTTTCCTTAATTTTTTATTTTTTTTTGGCCCCCCCAACTCAAGCTCCCACGCAGTGATTTGAACTGAATAGGAGCCGATCTTTTCTATCCATTAAAAATTAAAAAAAAAAAAACAAAAAAACCTAAATGAGTTGTGATGTCATATAAATTGGTATACATCAGTAAAGTGTAATTTTTTTTTTTTTTTTCATGAATAATAATGTTAAAAATATTTCATTATTGACCCTCGGAGCATTTGTTGTAATTTAAAAAAATGACCTTTAAATTAAAGAACAAATATTTTCATAAAATAAAAATGAGACGTATAAAATTACACAAGAGTTAATAAAAAAAAAAGGGCATTCCAAAATACATTAAACCGCTATAATTCAAAATCAATTTTGAAAAAAGGTAGTTATTAATTTAATTGGTTAAAAGTTAGTAATTTCTCCAATGACACAAAACGGTAAAGCTTTCTTTTTTTTTTATTTTTGAAATTTGTATTATTATTTTTTTAATATTCAGTTTACATGTTCACCTAATAATAGGAACTGTTGATGTTTTAAAAACCAAATGCGGCGTGATGATTTTGCAATGGACTGAAATAAAATGCATGCATTAAAGGGTTAATATAACTTGCCAAAAAAGGGGGGGGGGTTTCTTCGCAATTTATTTAGGTCTTATAGGATCCCTGCCCCCCCCCCTTCGTGTAACGACCCGCAGCAGTAAACCATTTAACAAAAAAAAAAGATTCCACGCTTGACTTTCTGATCATGTGCAAGTACACATTTGATCAAGCGCGGGGGGGAAAAAAAAACGGCGCTCGATGTGATCTCCTTTGGATTGGGCACTTGGTGGGCACGCAGGGTGAGTGAGTAGCAGTGATGGTCTGTCTCTGTCTCTCTTTGCCCTGCAGCCCCCCCGAACCACCCTGCCCGCTGCTTGAGGAAGCACCGAACACGGACCTCAAGCCCCCTCCTATACTCCTACCCCAATGACATTGTGTTTGATTTTGAGCCCGAGCCCGTGTTCCGAGGTAGTCAGGCCCTCTGTGTGTTCTCGTGCTCCCACCTCCACTGTTTCACCACCACCGCATACGCCCCCCCCC